GCTTCAATAGGCAAATCTCCTTCACTACTTGAGCCTGAGCAAAGTGAAAGGAACATCATATGCTTGTACCATAATTGTAAGGACATGGACAATAGGGTCACGTTTGCATTGGAGTACAAGAGCACAGAATTAACGTGGCATGCTTTAATTCATCTTTTAAGTTGAGAATTCATACATTAAAAGTTTTTATTGTAGATATAACCTACTTTGGTTCTTTTTTTCAGTAGGTCCTGCAAAATGGAGGCTGCAACATTCTAAACAGTACTAGAAAAAGAAATGCAAGCATTGATAGTTTGCTGAATAGTCAAATACTACATGAATGTTGGACAGCAAAGAGAAAAGATGACCAACATAAAGGTTTCTGGCTACCTTGTAAGATATGCGTAGAGAAACTGCTTTTTTTAATATAGCCAAGTGTGGATTTACATATTCAGGAGTTAGAGTCGAGGCCATAGTTAGGGCATAAAGTACCTTAAGAAGCATATCAAGAATAAAACATGAAGGTTGAAGAATAATTTTATTTAATTATTTATTTGTTAATACCAGCAAGTGTAAAACAGTTTCCAGGTAGAAAGGGGTATCTAGTCAATAGTTACAATATTTCTGTGTTTATTTTAACCAAGCTTAAATACTGTATGCAGTCTGTGGAGCAATAGCTTAAAATTAATGTGTTGCAGGTGCACTGAAACTGAAACTTTGATAATGGAAACATCTTTCTGGGAGATAAAAATCTAACAGCTAGAAGTTGAAGCTAGACAAGTGAAGAGAAAAATAAATAATCCTGTAGGAATGCCTTCCTTCTTAATAGGATACTTAGCATGAATTATGAAAGTTGATAAGAAATTCTTCATCATCATCATCATCATAAATAAATAAATGTTTCAGATTTTGAGAGGTTAGAAATTGTCATCTGTAATTCTGGTAGATAGCAGCTGTCAGCTTCTGCTTATAAATAGTGTTGAGTGCTCTAGTGTTTGTGAGGACAGGAGAAATCTGTAGCCAAAAAATTAAAATTGTAAGGCGGAAGCTGTAGAATTGGCTCTGAAGTCGTGATTTAAAACTTAAATAGTATACTTCCTGAAATTCAATCACTGAGCTATATTAAAGGACCTTCACTGATTTTGTTAAAATTTTTCAGTTTTGATTTATGTGTAACCTACCTTTTTCAAATTTTAAAGTTCTAAAGACTGTTATCCCTTAATATTTAATAATTTCAATTAGATTATTTAAGTAATTATTTAGTTTATTTCAATTCAATATTAATTGCATCTTGTTGATTTGATAGGTGCATTATATCCTTCTAGTTTTGTGTCATCTTGTTAACATCATAACTTTGGTGCCTTGTTTTTTCTTTAATGGGATCAATTAATTACTAAATCTTATTTCTTTTAGTAAATGACTTTGAAACTATTGAAAGTGGATGAATAAATGTGTACCGTCTTGTCAGTGTAAAAGGAGCTCTCCATATTGGGCTTTTGTTAGCTGCTTTTCGTGTAACTGGCTCACTTGGTTAGCAGAAAATACTTGACTTTGATTTGTTTATTCTTTTCCTGTTTTTTACAATAATCTCTTTTGGATAACTTTATAGCTGAAGCTGGGCCTAAAAGTGACTTAATATTTCCTCTTTTGTGCAGCAGTAGAAGAATTTGCTTTGTGCCTCTGCTGTTTAGTGATTCAGTTGTGCCCCCGCTGTTCCATGATTCATTTTTAACATGTGAATATTTTAGTGAAATTACCATTCTACAGATGATACTTAGATCAGGATTTCCTTTCTGTCAAACAGTCTGATAGTGATGGAAGGCAGATAAAAGTAATCGGTTTAGATTTAATCCTGATAAGACATGCAGTGTTTTTCATACTGGTAGAAAGCTTGTAGTGAAATTTGTATTGTACGTGTATTTAGTTTGTATTAGTGGAGAGCATGCCAGATTCTTAGCTTGACAGTTACCACTTGTAATCTTAGGTTCTTTTGATGGTCCTGGGGTTTTATGTTTTGTCATACAGAAAAAAATAATTTTTTTTGCCATTTTGTGTTCTTCATTAATCAAAAAGATGGCCATTAATAGACACTTCTACTACTATTATTTACATTTTTGTTTCCTTAAACATAGATTATAGCTGAATATAATACTGTAGTATAAATTTACACCATGGTTACTCCAGGTGATGAGCAGCCAATATGAAACTGTACGTTTGTGTACTTTAGATACCAGCTATCTCAGATTTCCACCAAATTACTGCCTTCTCACTGGTACATCGTTCTCTCATGCATGAAAGAGCTCAGAATACATTGTGCTGCAACAAACGGAGCGGCTCTGTGATTATTTCTCAGTGTATTTCTGAAGTGTTCCCATCTGTCCAGAACAGATGAAAGAAGTGAGGAAGGAAGAAGAGGAGGACTGTCCACTTCTGAAAGATTTCACTACTGAATGGGTGAGCTGTAAGCTCAGAGGATGGTGGAGTTTGGTCTTAGCTCTTTTTCAGCCATGCTTCCTGGTCTGGGTTGAAAGTACCGTTTAACTGAGGTGAGAGAGTAAGTGTGGGTGGGTTTGAAGCTCGGCTAATGTCTAGGCTAAAGATCTCTGGATCTGCAATATCCTCACTTAAAGCTTCTGTTAAAACGTGATATATTGTTGGGTGGTGGTTTGGTCTGGTGGGACAGGCAGTAATTAATGTCCTTGTTCCGTGATCTGAAGTGGGTGTGCATTTGTTTGAATTTGATTTCAGAATATTAGTTATAGTTCTGTAAAATCTGAAATGGGCTTTTATACTGGTAATCAGACAGTTTACTTGTATTGTCACTGAGTTGAGTTAAACTAGCGTGCTTCTGCTGTTGATTCCAGTCTTTGAATTTTTGATGGCCAGCAGCACTGCAATATTTCCATGGGACTGTCGGCTCACAAATTTACCAGATATTCATAAATACTTTATGACATGTTCAATCAATTGGCCAAAAGATGAAGCTGTTCAACTTGTCTTGCATATTGGTGATGCCACCAGCTGTGGTAGACATTCAAAAAAAAAATGAGAGCATGGAGTAGATGGCCAAAGTTTCAATACTCTTCTGCATTGGAGATTCTTTTATAACAAAGAAGAACCTTGATTAAACCAAATTTGACTTGTCTGGGGTTTCCAGTCTGCTTGTTGTGTTATTGCATTGAAGAATATAGGGTTACTTGCAATATGGATCAAGTTTTCAAATGTGTTTCGCAAGAAGGATGTGTAGTTTTGCATAATAAGTTGGTGTTTTGGAACCCTGTGAATCATTTACACACTACACAATACAAAATTCTGCAGGTTTTCAGTTTATTATTGGATACTTATTGGAATGTGTTAGAATGTTAATGTCTATTTTAAATGCATATTTTAATATTAATATGTATGTTACAAAACAGATTATTTGAGCAGTTCAGATCAGCTCTTATGTTGCACATTAATATGCACCAGTGGTTCCACTATGTTGCTTGTCATTTTTTAGGTGAATACTAGAAATCATCATCACACTTCTCACAAGTTAATCATAGAAAGGACTGTACATCTTTTAAAAGTTATTCATTGTATGTCTACAGGATGGCTGCTGGTTTGTGGGTTTTTTTAGGCTTTTCACCAGTATGCTGTATTAAACAGTTGAACCATTTTTAGTTATGTAGAAGACAACACATGGCTCAAAATTTGAGGGGGAATGGAGATAAGTATTACACTTATGTCTTACAAACAGCTGTACATTCGTTTTCTTTCCAAACATTAACAAAGCCAAATTCTACTTTGTATGCCATGATTTTGGTTCTGTGGAATGGAAGAAATGATTGCTTTTGGATTCTGCTAATATAAGGAAATATTACATGATCAGGGTCAGTGTTGCAATAGCTTTTAAACAGGTACTCAATCCATTTATGCCCATTTGAAATAAAATCTAGCCCCTACTATGTTTGAAGACATGTTAGGAATTGCTATTTCTTCGTAAGATTAAGGGAAAACTCTTGCCTGCAGTATGGTAGAAGGAAGGGGGAAGAAACACAATGGCTGCCTATTTGCTACCATGTCATGTAAAGGGAACGTGGACACTACACAAGGTTGCAGTGACAGAGATGGGAAGATCCATGTTAAGCCTTTAAGTGCTTCTCCCTTCCTCTTCTCCCGGCAGATTTGTGCCCAAGGTTAAAATTAGGACAGTTACTCTGACAAATGTGGACAGTTTGTTTTGAGGCTGTATTGTAGATTTATTCCCAGGCTATGTTATCAAAGCTATATAATATGATTGTGAGTATAAAATGCCTGGTGTTTATGACAATTGTGGAACCTGCACTAACTACAGTTCCATTATGACTATTACCATCACGATGGTTTCTTAGCTGTGTGTGTGTTTGAGAATCTTGAACTACTAGTAAACTTAAATCTGTTGTTGCTGGGCAAAGCAACAGGCACTTACTTTAGTGGAGGTCTGAATTTAGATACAGATTTTCTAATCCTGGGTTTGGCTACAGATAATTACTACTTTGGTGGTGAAAATAATGGGCAACATTAAAGGAAATCTGCAGGGAGGCAGAGGTGTGCTTGTACTACTCTAACAATTTAGATGGTATGTAAGACAGACCTGAATGTTGCTGAAAACTAAACAGATCTTGCTTTTTTACATATGCATGCAACACTACCTGCAGTATACTAGCTTCTGGAGTCTAATGGATATGATACGACAACTGAAAAAAATGACGGAGGAAAATGTTTTAAAAAGACCTCTGGTTTAGTGTTCTGAAGAAGAGGATCAAATACATCTGCCTTTATTGAAGGTTCAAGAGCTTGTAATTTATATCCTTAGAGATATGCCTTTGATCTTTTTTGATTTTGGAGGATCTGAGGTGTCATTCTTACGTTTATAGATGGGGAAAAGATAAGACACAAATAAATTTAAAAATTCCTTTACAGGTCACTTTTAACTATCTACCAGGTAGAACTGCTGTTTGAGAAGATGCTCATAGTTTGTGTTTGATGTGCATTTACAGTGTCCATATATGGGATTTGGTTTTATGATAAGGAAGAATGCCAAAGAATTGCAGAGCTCATGAAAAAGTAAGTGATGGGTAAACAAGACTTTTTGTGCTTTTTTTAATGTATGTATTTCTGTACATACATGCACATTATATTACTAGGATGGTCATACCTTTCTACTTCAAGCCTGTATTTATAGATTTTGTTGCAAGTAAAGTTGTCATGGCTGCATTTTGTATAATCAGAAATATGTCACTGTATTGCAATACCTTTTCATAATTTGCTGTGCAGCTTTCCAGCTACATCAGAGTGTAACAGTTCACGTGATTTATCTCCTGATGACTCCGAGATCTGTTCTGAAGATTTGTATTCTTTGGGGTTTTAATACATTTTTCAGTTTGGGGAGATTTTATTTTTTAATGTTGCTGTTACTTATTTTTTCTTCTATAAGTGGAAGTGCAGGCTATCATGAAAGGATACTGTAATAATACAATTTCTGTGGTTTTTATCCTGTCTACATCATGGCTGAATTCCTTCTTCCTCATTTCTTAGCAATATGTACAAAATTCACTTTGTTTTTGGAATATAAAGCAAGACTTTAATTAGCTCTGAATTCATTACTTTTATGGACATAATAATACTATTTTATACATGTTTTACAACCTTTAATTTTGCAATCAAGTTAGAGATTAAAATTTTAAACCGAACTGTATTCTCAGCTGTATTTTAATCTAACAATATCATGAATAGTTTTTTCACTCACTGCTTTCTTCACGTGTCCAGGATGGACAGGGCTCATTCTTCTGCTCTACCCTCTGTTTGGCCTAATAATATTGCTTGTTTGCAATAATGCCTTTCTTATGACTATATTTTGCAAGTTTTCATGTTTGTTTGGAGGAGGAAGGAGCTGAAGTCTTACAGATTTTATCAACATACACAATCCACATTTTTTAGAGCTATAATGTGGAGGATATAGTAAAGAGGCCTGATAGCACCAGGCAGAGATTGTATATACCGGTTTTCTGTGGTATATAGGGTTGGACATACCATTGTGTCACAAGTCTTTTAAGGGACAGGAGGAAGGATGACATCGAGCCAGGTCTTTGTCATCCCAAGAAAAGCCATGGGAGGCAGATACAGTCAAGCTGACAGCATTAAGTACTAACAGAGCACAATGCAAAGGCACTGTCAGACCTGTGAATCTCTGCTTTTCAGGTCATCTGTCCCAGTCTTAGCAGCTTCTGTAGCCAGAAGCATGCTGAGGAGGTGATGTCAGGTTTGATTGCCAAAGTTACCAAGTGCCCAAAAGACCATTTATGTCCCCTGCAGTACAGGTCCAAAGAAGGCTCATCCTCGCACATCTCGGTCCATAGCAAAGTGTTTTAACTCTTCTACCACTACGTTCCAGATAGGATTTTTAAAAATACTGAATGGCAAGGTAGTCATGTTTCCTCTCTATCTCTTTTTAAAGTAATACCTGCTGCTTTTCATTTTGCAGTGACAAAACATTGTGAAACACAGACTGTGACAGTGGTGGGGGTTTGTTTAGGGGGTTTTGCTGTATATCCTACAGCTCTAAAATGAGTCTGTTGTGACCCAAGAAATAATTGATGGGGATGAATTTATAGAAATAATCAATGAACCCTATGAAACCCAGGGTTTTGACAGCTAATTTTAGTTAACTAGCTCAAGTTTCAGTCGGTGGTGATTAGGTACTCTCAAACTGCTAATTTACTACAATAAAAACTAGTTTTCAGAGGATTCATGCAATTGTAAACCACATGTAGTGGTTTATAATAGCAGTGTTTCATATAGATAAAAAATGCCCTGTCGCTCAGCCAATTGGCTTCGTGTTTTAATTCTCAGCATTGTACAATAATAATAAAACAGCTGGGGCAGGAAATTGGTCATTTGCTAGTAGTTAATGACTGATTTGTGTGTATTTGCCATCCTCCACCACCAGCAGAACTGAATAACATTATAAATTCCCTGTTCTTTCTGCGTATAGAAGTTGTGACTGAGTTACAGAAATTTTAGTCTATGCCTAGTATATTCAAGATTGGCAAAAATTAATCTCACACCTGGTCAAATTATGTTTTAATATAGAACTTTATTTTAATAGAGACTTTTTTGCACATGTTTTATTGTAGATGGGGAAAATGAAAATATTTGAGTTTTGATTAATTATTGTAAAGTAGTTATGGTTCAACTGTCTATATTTTATCTGTTTTTTGTCTTGTATATTCTCCTCTCACCTCCAATTTTCAGCCTAACTCAGCAGGAACAATTCAAAGCACAGCAGGGCACAGGAACAGGAGTGTCCCCAATGATCATGAATTCTGCTAATAACAAAGAAGTGGATATCTTACGGATGCTTACCAAGGCCAAAGATGAGTATACCAAGGTGAGACTTGATGTCTATAAAAAGAGAACATTTCTTTTTGACAATATGATGGTGCCAACTTGCTCACAGTTTACATTTTAAAATATAAAAGGTTTGTTTTGTTTTTAAGTAGTTTTACTCAAAGTAAAACTGGTGTGGGACAGTGTGCTCTCTCATTTAGTGGCTGGTAGAAAAGTTTTGTCAGGATTTGCTAAAGATTCAAGAGAAAACAATGCAGCCAATAAAAACTTCTGGAAGGAGAACATGTGTATGACTGTTAATTTGTTGAATGCTAGGTGGTAGGAAGAAGTATAAATTGGCTTTCATTTTGACCCCGAGAGCTCATGTGCTTGTTGCTTATTGTGCAACACCTGGTAGTTGTATCCTCTCTCTGGGTGAAGCATTCAAACCTGCTAATAGTTTCTGTGGTTTGTACAAATACCTTCCTTCAGAGACGACCTTTAACAGTGAAGTTACTGCTTTAATTGTGGTTCTTCTCTACTTTCAAACACTAATGGAAGGAAATGAAAAGGTTGAAATGTAGTATGATTTCAACCCATGTGCTGCTTTGGTCTTCTGAGGCTTCTAAATAAAGAAGTAACTAATGGACTAATAATGTTCTCTATTATTGAGCAATCAAAAACGTTTTACTTAGGGGAATAAAAATCTAATAATTTTTACTATTCATATATAAACTGCAAATTGTTACAGAGCCTGCAGGTTCCTACAGCCATTTCCTGTATATCATATGTGCTGTCATGCAATAATAAAGCTCATAAGTGTTCTGGGTCTAGAAATATATATGGCTCTTAAACACAGGCATTTTAAAGAGAGAAAAAGTGATTTTTCTGAAATGTGGCTACTAATAAGATCCTCAAAAATATAATAGTGAACTGTTTGAGTTATGGTGAAATCTAGCCCTTTTTGTTGTGGTATAGCTTCTTTTGAAGCTTAGGACCATCATATTTTCTATACTAGGGGTTTAATGTATTACAGCGGACAAACACCTCCAAAACCTGGTATCTTTTCTATGTTTTAATGCTGAATCAGTTATCTAGTCTTGGCATAAAAGAGTGTGGTTTGAGATATTATAAAATGTTTAAGCAGTTTTCATTACCTTAAAAATACTGTAAATGGAAAAATGGAAAAATGGAAAAATACTAGGTGGTCTTCAGATCCTATGAGAAGGAGATAATAGATCTAAAAAAAGTTACCTTCCATTTCTACATTAGCACACAGAATATCTAGACAAAGGATAGGAAATTTTAGAATATCTGTTGTTTAAATAATAGTGGTTTGAATTTTTTTCCATGCAAATATGATCTTTTCAAAATTTTCCTCTTGCTTCATATATTTAATCTTTCTGTATTTAAGGAGTTGCTAAGGAAGTAACATGAAAACTTCATCTGGGTCATGAGTGCTAGGAGTACTTGACCTCTTAAGAACTGGATTTCTGTTTTTTCTTGGTTTATTAGTAATATAAAATTGAGAAAGGTGTGATAAATGAAGGCAATGACAACAATTTTTGTATTTAATGTCAATATGTTTCAGAACAGTCATGCTTTTTGGCTGCTTTATGACATCGACTTTCTTGTCAGTGTATGTCTTATGACTTACAATGCTGATGTGCTGAAATCAGTTATGAAATATGTTGTTCTCCTTTTTGAATTTTGTGCAGTTTAGGAGAAGCGGATGTTTTAATGTGTTGGGAGCTATAGAATATCAGTTTGCAAAGCACCTAAGGAATTTTGCTCAGTTTCTTAGTCCTATGATCATTTTTTTTTTTTTTTGTAAGAGTGTAACTAACTTTGAAGGGTATATCTCATTCCCAAGTTAAATTACAGATTTAGAGGTTACATGTAAAATAAAATACATAGCCTTCCCCCTCCTTTTATTAATGAAGCTTTAAGCTGCTAAACCACTAAAGTATTTTTTGAAAAATGTACTGCTTATGCACTTGCTTTCTCTTGATCTCTGGTAAGAAGTGGTGGTATTAGCTGTCCTCATAATGATAGCTAGGGAGATAAAGAGTTGAAGAGCTGCTAGGGTACATAACGAAGCATGGCAAAATGTGTTTTTCTTTAACCATTGTGCCTTGTCTCATATTACAAGACAAGCTCTGGTTTTGCTCTGTGCTGCACGGTTCTTTTACAGATCTACCCATTTATTACAGCATCTTTGACCTATTAAATGTCAGATTAGGTAGATGTCCTTTGGCTGATGTGCCCAAAATAACTGAAACTTCCTTCTTCATTACTAAGGACACACAACCATTTGATAAGAACGTAATTTCTGGTAACAAGCAATCATGGCCTCTGGACTTCTATTTATGTTCTTTGACTGCTTCACTGTCTTTCAGCAAAACGTTCAAACAGTACTGCCCTGCCCAAACAGGAATATAGTTTTTAAGTTTTCAAGTGCCTTAGCTTTTGATTTGTTAACTGTGTGAAATACTTGATAGTAGGATCCAGAAGGCCTAGCTTTCCTGAGGGCACTGTGCCATACTCAGCCTGGATGATGAAGAGTCTACACTACTGTTCTTAAACAGTCTGAATTTGTTCTGAATGTGTCACTTAAGCAGGGCTCTGACTGGAAATCCTTGCAGCTAGTGCTCTTCTTTGAGAGTTCTTGTCCTTCTTAGTTCCTCTTTTCTGCTAAGTACCTTGTACGCCTTCATGTGACTGTTCATTAAATTCACCTTGTGGCTGCTTTACATCAGCTACGTAGAAATCTCCAGTTTCCAGGGCTTTTTAGCTCTGCACTCAAGCTCTGACAACTTCAAAGTCCTCTTCATCACTTTTAGCACAGACATCTATCTGCAGAGCTCTTCTAAGTTCCGTCGTTTTGGCTGACCACTTCTTGTATCAGACCTTCTAGCATCTCCTCCTTGTACTTGACAGGTCTTTGCAGCTCACATGTCTCAAAAGTCAGGGTTTTGCTACAAAGCATGTGATTGAGATGTGGTATGGTATTTGCTTCAGGAAAGCTGCAATACTGAGGTACCATGCTTGTCCATTGTCTGTTTCCTTTGACAATGTCCTGCTTACCTTGAGCTTCATAATTTACAGGTAGACTATGAAATCTCACAGCATGGAGCAGTTGTTGCCTCAAATGTCTCTGACTACCAAACTTTCCTAAAACATCCTCAGTGATTTTTGTCTTGTTTTTGACTGACATTCATCACATGTCTGGTTTTTTTCCAGTGTTGCTTAGCCTTTCTTTGACTTGATCTTAGAACCTTTTGATTTGTTATGCATCTTTTTTAGGAGCATAGCTTGGAACAAGACACATAACTAAAGGACAGACCTGTGAAGAAAGATGTAATTGTCAGGTGTTGTAGCTGATGAGTACTCTTCTCATTCTATCACTAAAGAGCATGGTGACATTTCATGGTGCTTTTTGCTGTTTGATGATGATGGCATCTGATATCTTCTTTAGCTGTCCACCAGGCAGTTGCTTAAAATGTCATGCTTGTGCTCCTAACTTACTCATCAGCAAGGCCATGCCACCCATCTGCCAAAATGACCTTATATTCTGAGATCCAATAGTTACGGATTCCTTTGAAATCATCACAGGCTTTTTTTTTCCCTCTTCAGCATACTTCTCTGTATTTGATACCAGTCTACTAGACACGTTATCAAATCATGGGACTGATACCAAGTCAGGTCAGTGTCACATTCTCTGTAGGCCTTTGCGTATACTGCTGTTCATTTTGCTCAGGAATTTGATCTGGAAAATGCTCATATAATGATAACTCTGTTAAATTCTATGGCTTCTCACCTCATTTTTATATGGTTAGTTCTGTGATCATACAGAGTCTGACAGTGGAATTTAAGGTACCCAAGTTTTTGAAGATTTCAGCCTATGACAAAATAAGGGTATTATTTAAATTCTGCAGAACTCATTGTGAAATGTACAAGAGTATGTTATCCATCATGTTAAAGAAAAAAGTTTAAATACATGCTTGTATGTTTTTTGCACAAAAAGCTATGCTGAAAAATAGCAAGAAGGAAGTATATTGAAGAAAAGGCAGCATCATTAGAAAATTTTGGGAGGAAAAAAAAAATCGTTAATCTTACTGAAGTGTGGTTTTGGTCTATGTAGTATCACATAGGATCTGTCCAATCTGAAAAAGAAAATTATCTTCGCTTGGTTTAGTATAGATCAAGTAGGGGCTACAGGAAACACTTACTTGGACTACGAAAAAACCTTTGTTAATTAATTAGGTAAGATGCTTAATTGTCACTAAGTGAATGAGAGGCAACATAAGTCACCAGTCAGAAACTGGGTGGGAAAGTCATTTAAGAATAATCCAGTCATTTTTCCTAGTATATTTAAAATTTTGAAAAATGTTGATGAGGTTGCAGAAAGTTCCATACTAGGACACTGTTGAGGGTCCATATGAGCTGCCTGGAAATGTTGAGAAAATAAAGCTTGTAGAAAACAACAACAAAAATTTAACTTCCTCATACTGAAGGATAACAGTGGGTAAGTTCGGAAGAACCTAAGAAAACAATTTGTTTGAGCAGTGCGTTGATAAATTTAACTCAGAGCTAATAAATGGAAAGGAAACTTTTCCTTAGTGTAAAATCTTTAATAGTTATGTTAATGTTGTAGGCTTGTCTTCTACATTGTTTTTCCATGGCTTCTTTGTGTTATGATTTTTCATAGCAATCCATTCATAACTATTTTAAATATGAATTGCTTAGCAAAACTGAAACTTCAATCAAGTGTAGATTTCTGTCAAGTGGTTCAATTAATCAGGCTTTGAATTATAGAGAAGGGAGGTAAGCATGGACTAGTTTTAAAACAATACTTCTGCTCACCATGAAGAGTCTTTAGACTTAGGTCTTTACTTGAATTTTGGGGATATCTCTAGTTATCAAACTTGCACTACACTGTGAGATGGGTAGCAAGGGTCTGGGTGAATGAGATACCACATTCTGGTAAAATTATTTCTCTCTTTTTTTTTTTTTTTTTTTTTTTTTTTTCCCAGAGAGAACAAAAAATGTAGCTGAGTTTAAATATATTTACATGTTGAATGTGGCCTCCTCTAATTAGCCATGAGGCACTTGCTATGTGGTTTTATATTTAACTAAAATTCAATTTTTCCATGAAGCTCTGCATTACTGGCAAAGCCAGTACTTTGTTCTTCATGTTTTTTTCCTATCTAGTGCTTGAGGAAGTTTCTCACTTTATGCAGTAGGGGTATAGCAGGAAAGAAGAAACAGGTGCTTGTTCTTTCTTCAGACTGAATAGCTAAGCACCCTATGGCATGATTGTCTGTGCATGCTTTAAAGTTATTTCAAAGAGCCACATTTGAACCAAAAATTGTCATGCAGTAGAAAAAAGCCAGGTACATGGGTGGAACTACACTTCTACTTTTCAAGGTCCTGTCTTCAGTAATTCATTGCAGAAGTCCCTGACTGTCCAGACACGCACAAGATGATTTTTCAGCAGACTCACAAAATCATTGAGACTGGAAGGGACCTCTGTAGATAGTCTAATCCAACCTCCCTGTTTACAGCAATATCAGCTAAACTGGATTGCTCAGGGCCATGTTAAATCAGGTTTTCAGTAGCTCCATTGTTGGAGACTCCACAACCTCTCTGGTCTACCTGTTTTGATATTCAAGCATCCTTATAGTAAAAAAGTCAGCACTAACCTGTACTGCATGGGGTTATTCTTCCTCAGTTTCCCTTTGTTGAACTTTGTGTTCCTGCCAGCCCATTTCTCCAGCCTGTGAAGGACCCTCTGAATGGCAGCACAACCATCTGGTCTATTAACTACATATCCCTGGTTTATATTGTCTTCAAGCCTGCTCGGCCCCATCATTCAAGTCATTAACAAAGATGTCAAACAGTGTCAAACCGTGGGATACACCACTAGTGACTGGCCTCCAGTTGGAGTTCATGCCATCAATATTTTGAGTCCAGCAGATCAGACAGTTTTCTGTCTACCTCACTGTCCACTCACCTAGTCTGCATTTCATCAGTTTGTCTCCCATAGGAGACAATGTCAAAAGCTTTGCAAAAGTCAAGGTAAACAATATCCACTGAGCCAGTCATCTCACTGTAAAAGGCTTTTGGGTTGATCAAGCATGATCTCCCATTTGTAAAGCCATGCTGGCTATTCCCAATCACTTTCTTGTCCTTAATATGTCTAGAAATGGCTTCCAGTAGGAATCCATTTGTTTCATCACTTTCCCAGGGATCGAAGTGAGGCAAACCGGCCTGAAGTTCCCCACATCCTTCTTCTTTTGCCCTTCTTGAAGGGTAGTACTGATATTTGTCTCCTTACAGTCCTTGGGAACCTCCCCCAATTGCCATTACCTTTCAAAAATAAAGAGTGGTCTCACAATGACAGAGGCAGCTCACTCAGCTCTTAGGAGTGCATCCCATCGGGTCCCATGGACCTGTGTATGTCCATTTTGCTTATGTGCTGCCTACCCGATCTTCCCCTACCAGCAGTAAGTCTTCATCACTCCAGACTTTCCCACCAGCCTCAGGGGCCTGGGATTCCTGAGAACAAATGTTGCAAAGAAAGCACTGAATACCTCCTAGAACCCCTTGAGTCCCCTCAAGAACTCAAGTTCTGTTTTAATGAGCAGCCCTGGAACCAGTGTGTCTTTGTTTACTGTTGCAGTAGGAATCAAAAATTGATTGAATGATTGGGTTTGTATATTTGGGGGGAGGGTGGTGGTGTATTTTCTCACCTAACACATTTACATCCCAAGGAGTTTGTCTCAGAAAGTTCTGGAAGGGACACTGACATTTTCGTAATTTCACAGCAGTGGCTCTGCTGTGTGTCTGTATGGTCCAGAGTTCTGTCCTCAGTAATGCACAAGACTGGGCTCTCTGGAGGAGAGAATGAGAAATCAAAACTGATCATTCCTTACCCAACCATTAGTCCTGCAGCTTAAAATTTAGAGCCCATCAAATTCAGTTAATTAACTATGAATACTCTTGTTAGCTAGGATTAACCTTTTGTTAGATAATTCTTTAAAAAAATCTTTCCAGTTCCTTGGTTTCACTTGTGTCGAGCAACAATGACTTCCAATATACTGTTTTCTACTGACAATAGCATTCCCTGTATACTCAATGCTTTTTTAGTTTGTTTCATTGACTATATTCTTATTTTTTTTGTACAATGTAAATAAAACCATCTTATTTACCTTTTTCTATTCCATTTATTATTTCACTTTCATGCAGCATTTTCTGTGCATTTTTTATGAATTAAATTATGCCTTCTTTCTTCATGTCAGTCATTCCATGTCCCTGATCACTTTTAGTCATCTGTCCCTGCCCATCTTTTTATAAATGTTGTTATTAATCCTGTCATATTTAATAAGAAAACATACCGATCCTACAAATTGATTAAACCTGTCATTATTTTTCTGTGCAGGCATAGGCATCCTCCAGTTTCCCACAATGTGGAATATTTATGTAAGAGTTTGAGTTGTAATTCCTGTTTTTAACAAAAAACATTTTAAATGTTCTTTATGGGCACATTAATCCTTCATGTATATAAACTACTTTGAGCTGCCTACTGATGCAGGAGAAGCATGTCTGTTGCTTGGTTTCTAAGGTGCTTTTTAAAAATTATTTTATGTTTTTTTAAGTGCGGGAAAAGCAGAAGATAAGGAAGAGAACTGAGATTTAAATTAGCCGGGAAGCCTCATACTTCGCAAATTCTGGAATAAAGATTTATTTTTACATATGCTTTGTGGTTTTAGAAAATTAGGTTGCAGTTGTTCTTTCAATAGCATACTATTTCATTATCAGTGCTGCAACTAGTATTTTGGGTTATTGAATACCTGGCAATATCTGTATTTTACTGTAGTGGATAACTGAGGAAAATATATTGTCACAGTTACTAAAAAATACTTCTTTTCTGTTGCAGTGTAAGACCTGCTCAGAGCCAAAACAAATAACCAGTTCCTCTGCAATCTATAACAACCCCAACCTAATCAAACCAATTCCAGTGAAGCCTAGTGAAAATCAGCATCAACGAATATCTCAGCAAAGCAAGGTAAAACATTTTGTGTGTTTTCTGAGTAGTGCTGCTGTAATTGAGTAACTGTGTAGGAATCTTTGAGTCAGAAGGTCAGTTCAAGAATTTGAGGTAGAATCACTGTAAGGAATTATTTTAATGCAAAACTAGTCTGGTTTATAAAAAGCTCCCCAACCCCCACCATATGATGTGGAAGCATATAAATTACAGGCATACTAACCATGATGCAACAAAGAAATACTAGGCTTTCAAATTTCAGATGCTGCTTTGATCATAAGCTGGTCTAGTCAATTGCTGGACCACAGTTTTTGTGTTCTTTTTTTTAGGCAAATTCAGTTAATCTGAATAAAGAAAAGTCTCTTGATACATCTTCAGACTAAATCCCACTGCAAAATCCTAAAAGCTAAATTCATCTGTGACAGGGAGATGCACAAGAAGTGGCCCTACTTCATACATAGGAAGATTGCTGTCTCTTACTAATATTGCACTGATGCTGAAAGGGAAGATGCTCTTTCGTGGTATTTAAAGTGAAGCCACTGCTATCTCTCAGATTCACTGATTTTCTCCCACATTAGCAGCTTGACAACTGTCTTCTTGCCCTTCCTATGTGACAAAACTATTAAAAATCCTCTTGGGAGAAAAGAGCATAGCAGTTTTCTCATCTTTTCCTTGAATACTGCTGGCTAAATATTGTCGCCACCTAATGTAACTTAAGCATGAGGGAACTGTGTTTATTTTTTTCCTTTGTCCCCTCACAGAATGTGGATCCTGAACCACAGCACTTGTCTTTGACAGCACTATTTGGAAAACAAGAAAAGCCAGATGTCTCAGAACCACTTAATAAACAGCATCAAGAGAATCTTCCTGTTAGGCAGGGTGTGGTACGTTCACTGTCCTACGAAGAACCTAGCAGGCATTCGCCCTCTGCAGAGAAACAGCTTTGCCCTGCCATTCAGAAGCTTATGGTGCGTGGGACAGACCTGCATCCGCTTGCTGAGTTTCCTGAGAACCGACTCTGTGAAAATGGCAATATCCACCCCGTGGGTGAGACTTTCACAGGACTCTTCCAACCTGTGACTTCTCATGGTATCGCAACATCTCGTGTAGTTCAGGATACTGCTGGCACTCAGAGCTTATTGCAGAAATTACAGAGTCAGTCAGGGTCAGTGGCTAAAATGGACCCCAGTGCAACAGGATCTGTGAACTCAACAGCTTCTGTGTTCAGCAGGACTCCTGCTGCTGTTGGAGCACCAGCAGCAACCGTAAACAATATGAGCCAGCCACCTTTGGTGTATTTCAATGGTTCCCTACCAGGCCAGACTTTAGAGTCTCAGACACTTGGTAAAGAACAATCCAAACTTCCTAGACAGCCACTTTCTCTCTCTGGCAATCAAGCAGCCAGTTCTGGGGTGATTTCACCTCAAGAGTTACTGAAAAAACTCCAAATAGTGCAACAAGAACAACAGTTGCATGTATCCAGCAGACCAACCTTGGCAGCTAAATTTCCTGTTGTTACTCAGAATTCCAATACACTGAAGCCACTGGATTCCTGGATAGAAAAGGCACCGGGTACAGAAAAACAGAGCGCGCTCTTTCAGGTAAATGGGAAACTTCAACATGTTAAATAAATAAATAAATTACAAGCTAGTAACCTTTTGAACAAGTGTTTTGTAAGGTTAGTCTTTGTTTCGTTTTGGCCAGTGTATTCTTGATATTATCTTCCCACATTTTGCACATCATTAATTTTGCAGGTGATAATTTAACACCAAGTAACTTCTGATTTACCAAGCTGTGATATTGTAAATACTGAAGGCTACATCTCTTGCACATCAATAATAACCAAAAATACAGCAATCTTGGGTTTTTCCAGAGGCACTTTGAGAAGTCACCTAGTTTTCAGTTGTCATATGTTGTCTCAGGCTTTTGTGTGTAATTGGTGGTTACTGAGTGTAATATTTCGGGTTTCATATTTTTCTGACAAAATTAGTCATAGCTTTCTCTGTGCAGCTATGCATTCCTTTGTATGCCAGTTGCTAAAGGGGCTTAAAAAGTCACTTCAGAAAGCTGCTGTTAGATAATATTTGTATATCAATTAACTAGTTATCTTATACCGTAACTGCTACTTCCAGCTCTTCATTAGCAATTTTTTAATTTGCTATGCATTATTTTGAAAAACGCCCTTGTGCCTGAATGCCTTAAAAAAAAACCCCAAACCCTTAATTCTGGTGATTGTGACCCTAAAATTCAGATTGGTGTCTTAAAAAATTCAGGAGATGTCAAGAGACCGTGTCTCTCACAACTGCATTTTTCTGTTCTTCAGAGAAGCATCATGTGCAATTACAAAATGTCCCATCCTGGACAACTACTGTCTTTGTTAACAGCTTTGTTTACTGTAGGATCTTCTACACTTGAATGTCTTTAAATGTCCTGTTTGGGGATGCATCTAAGCCCCTTTTAACTTCCTTTGTTGAGGACAGACTGTCCACAAGACTTGTGCTGTACTGGAGTCTGATGTATTGGAGTCTAGAAGTTACTTATCCAAATGAAAAAGCATTCACCTTTTCAGTGTAAAGTTCAAAAGCTGCTTTTCTATTGCAACTTCTTAAAAACCTGAATGAAAGACTACAGAACGCTTTAGCATGCTCCAAGAATCCCCCTTATTCTAGAAAGTTACCCTATATGTGAAGAGGCTGAAACAGTCATTTAGCAACTAAAGGCCACATCTGTCACTAATACTGATAGGTCAAGATTTCTAATTCCATGAGAGAGATCAGAGTAAGATGAATTTGATATAGCAAATAGCCATCATTATTTTTATTCTTTGATTAAAAGCATCATGAATTTGAATCTGTGTGAAAGGGTTTTGGGGGGATTAGTCATTGAAATTATTCAGGATCGGTTGCTTACAGATGGTAATCTGACTTTCCAGTCAAGTGCTAATGAATAAAAAGAGGATCCAGGTCAGAAAAATTTACTTTTGTTTCTTCACTGGGAATGGAACTTGCCTGCTATACGTGAAAGAAATTTTCAGATTCACTGGTACATGTACTGATAGCATGGAGACATAAGACACTCCTACTTTGAAGGTAAAAGTGATATGAGGCAAGTGCCAGGCTATATCTTGTAAGTCAGAATGCATACATAAAAAATGGTAAATATGCTGATATATTTTGAAATGAAAAATCCATATGGATGCTGACATGGCTAATGACTTTATTTGTGTGTATTTGAAGAAGGAAGTGATATCAGCATTACTTGCAATATGGAAAAGGAATTACTGAGGTCTGACACAATGCAATTTCAATAATTTTACTGCTTGAGTACGAATAGAACAATAGCTTGTGAGACAAGAAAAATCTTCACTGCAACAAGAGTCACTCACTGCGATTATTGCTGCAAGTTTGAGCAGACCAAGTAGACTGAGACTGCCTAGGAGCAGCTTCACAGACTGATACAGCCACAGCTGCTACCAAAACAGTATTAGAGGCAGTTCTTCCGACACATTTAGTATTGCTTATGAGATCTAATACACAGACTAAAAATGATAATGAAAATATGACTAATTATTGTTTAGGACACCTAAAGCTCTGCAATCTGGAAGGAATGGCCTCTTTCATATGTAGCAGATTGCCAAAAAAAAAAGGGGAGGAGGCTAAAAATGAAGGAATGAGTCTATATTCCTGTAGAATACCATGAATTAGCCACATAAAATATGCCTACTTTTGAAAAAGAAATGGAAGATAAAAATTTCAGACAACTTTTAAAACCAGCGTTAATCTTTTTATAATACCATCCTTGCTGTAGACCAGAGGCTTTAAGTGCTGCCATGCCTGCAGACAGACATTCGAGTGAAATTGAATTGGCACACATATATCTGCACATGCTCATGCAAAATTGATCAAAGCAGATTCTGACAACAAATGCAGCAAAAGGTTTCTTCTCTGTAATTATTTATCTTTTGGTATTGCTTCTTCTACTACAATTCAGCATATAGAAAAAGCAAATTCTAAGAAGTCTGACAGGAATAGAGAGGTATCTGGACAGCGTCTGTTGTTGGAAAAATCATATTAAAGGAACACCCTAAATCCATCAGCAGCACCAAGAAAATGAAAGCAATAGTCTTTTCCACAATTGACACATTACAAGTCCAAGTTTAAATTGGCTTCTGCTGCATCTCCATATGGTGTAAGAACTGTGATCTCCCACATGGAAAGGAAGAGACCAGTTACCAAAAAAAAAAAAAAAAAAAAAAAAAAAAAAAAAGAGAGAGAAGAAAAAGGGAAAAAAGCAAAAGCAGAAGAATTATACTCAGAAGCGTTTAGTCTGGTATGGTGCCAGCCCTATTCTGTGAAATATTCCCTATGTGGACAGTGAGTAACATGTGCTTAAGATGCAATAAAAAAGCATTAATCTGCAGTGGGCTTTTAAGCATATGCTTAGTGTTAGGCATGAGTTATCCTGATTATAGATACATGCATGCTTAAGTGTTTATGTTAATCAGAATTACAGTTTTAAAAGTACTTACAATAACCTTGACACACATTTATCTTTTCTTCAGAAGGCCACTTATCTTGCAGCCCATTTTTCCTCATTTCTTGGAGCATTTTCCATCAAGAATGTATTTTGTACATAGTGTTACAGCTTGTAAATAAGTGCATGGTACCTTGTATCTTTGATGTGAGCATAACACCATTACCTCTCAGTTGTCCTGACTGCAGTTTCAGCATGAGACTGTAAACATGCACAGGAGGAATGCAAATAGGTATATTAAACTTATTTTCAAAAGTAATTTAAGATCCCTGTAGTTAAACATCAACAAAAAATTCTGAATTAAACTTGAAAAACAAAGCAATGTTAGCATTATAGCCAGCTTTATTTTAATCGTAACTGTCTTTGAAGTTCTTGAACCATTCTTAGATTAAATGTTCTAAGGACTGCCACTAAAAGCAGTTAGAGGCCACAGCACCCACCGGGTGCTGATGTTCCAGACGAGCACTTGGTGCACGTGGGATTCTGCACGCGTAGGAAGAGACAAAGGGTGACAGTTTGCATTACAGGAGATCCGATGCATTTCTTAGTTCATGGTGTTACGTGAATTTGCCAGCTATCATGTCATCTAGCTGCCAGCAACCGTGCAGAATATCAAACATATTTTGGTGAGCATTTGTGCTTCAGAGAAGGAATGCTACATGCTGCAACGATTATTTTGCACATTTTTCATTGTTCTTCATTGCTGCAGAACTGACAGTAGACTCCTACTCTGTTATTAGTGACTCAGAGATTTAAGCGTTGACCTGCTAAAGCTGGAGATAATTCAGTAGAGGCTGGATGAACAAGCAGCTCAGGTTAGATTCTGTGGGAAGGAAGTTGATCAATGGCGTTTTGGAAGGGCTGTTATGACTTGCGAGAAATTACTGAAAGCTAAAAAATTGGCCCAAAAGCTATTAATGTCCCTACTGAGCATTTTCAGTGCTTTTAGCAAAAGCATAGTGCTATAGGAGTTGCGCTAGTAATGCCAAGATCAGCATCCCATTTTCTGATGGGTGTCAGTTGTCCCAGTGACTGAAGGTGTTCTGAACTAAATCTAAAATGAAAATTTGCCTTTATGTTTTAAAGAAAATATGCTGCTTGTGTAAAAGTTTGTTAAATGGCAGAAGCTTTGAGCACAAACTGTTAGCAAAGAATACATTTTAATGTTTGCATACAGAAACAAATGCTATGCACTGAAAAGATGATACATATATTTTTTATTCTTCTGACACAAATATTTTAAGTTTGGCAGTAACCTGTAGGTATTAGCTGTGTCACCAGTAGATGGCAATATTGCTTATTCCATATAGTTTCCATATGCTTGGCAAGTCCTACCAAAAAGCCATTTCTATCCAGAGAAAACAAATTCTTTTTCATGTCTTTTAAACCACAACATGTATACATGTTTGACAGTAATAACGGTATATTATTAAGAGCACAGTTTGTCTCAGGTTTTGTTTATTTGCCTCAGACTCTAGAGAAAAATGTCTCTTGATTTCAAAGGATGTGTCATCTATGGCTTTGACATCGTTGTAGATTCATCTATATTAGTGGGACAGTTTCTCTCCTCCAGCTGCTCACCACCCTCCCTTTGCTGGAGGTTCCTGCCCCTGGAGAGCAGTTTGTATATGCATTCCTTAAATCACATTAGGAAGAGTCATCTGGTTTAAGCAAACCCTGCCAATTTTGCTGGAGGTAAATTAAAGAGAAGTTACTTCAGCTGCATGGCTGAGTAGCACAGAAACGTTGTGATAAATGTCTGGAGGTAGTCAGTCTTCCAGAGGCAGGAGAAGAATCTTCTCACAGGAGAACATCTGTGCACAGTCTAAAGGTCTTGCTCCACAGAGGGGTGTCACTTTGGACTGACGCTGGTTTTCTTCTGAAATGAACCAGCATAGGTGCACAAAGATATTCACTAGCTTACTGTTTGAAGCAAACCTACAATGAGTTAGATACCTTAACTTATACAGGAGCTTATAACACAGACCTGATGATTACATACTATGGCGTAGGAAAAAAAGCTGTAGGTCAGGAGTTTTGTTCTTAAGTAGTACTCTGTGCTTGAGAAACAGAAACAGTAAACCTAGCACGTGAACTGAGAGATTTTTGCATTAGGTGCATATTGCATGCTTTCTAATATCCATGAGTCTTTCCTGACCCCCAGTCTTTCTGCTTCCTTAAATTTTGCATAAAACAGCATAAGATCTCAGTCTTCCTTGTTTCTTTCTATTTCTCTTTGTATTGTAATCTAACTAATGTTCAGAAATCTTCTTGGGTAGAACAATCATAACTAGGAGTAAGACAAGCTACAAAAATATGAATGTTCTTTAATATTAAAACTATGTTGTTTTGCATACCTAGGAGATAAACCTCAGTTTTATTTTCTTAATTTTAATTTCTCTTCAAAATTGAAATGTAACCCAGGACACAGAGTGAAGTGTTTCAGTAGCCTTTCAGCATCATACAGTAGCAATAAATCATGATCCCATCCAAAAGAGAGGAGCTTTGGTGAGCTTGTATCAATTCTTTTTTATGTTCTGTTCTTTGAAAAAAAAGATTGGATACTTGAATAGCGAGGAGATGGCTGATTAGGATTAAGGTTTATTACTAGAATTACCTGGAGAGAGTTATATCTGCAGACCGAGTGAATAAACTTCCTGTTGTGTTGTATATTATATCTGATGGTATTTGCTAGTCCTGCATGTTTTACAGTTCCAAGATGCATTGTCAAATTTAAAAGTAAAAATTTTTTGACACATATCTTTGCAGGTTGGCATGGATATGATAATGAGGGAACTTGCAGAACTACTGCAGCATCAAGGTTTTCCTTCTCTTTGAGGGCCTCTTTGATTTTGTCAGCTGTGCGTTGGTTAGGAGTCAGTTCTGTTTCTGACAGTGTCCCCCAGCTCACTGTGGCTCTTTAGATAAATCACTTAATCTGTTTTCCTTCCCCTCTCCTTAAGTTAAAATGAGAAGAAAAAAATGTATACATATATATATTTATAAAGTAATTTGAAAGTTATAATTGGAAAATACTTTCTAGTATTAGATGCAAAGATTAGTCTTCAGTAGTGATATTTGCATGTAAGTATATTGCCACAGATTAAATTTAATGACTTACTGTCCCTATGTAGAAAACTTTACAGCTACATTCCCCAAGAGTGCTGATATTTAATAGTAGTCTGAGTTCTGTAATAAAATGCTTTTGTCCTAAGATCATTTGCCTGTCAGATAGACTTAATCACACTTGAATCCATTGTGCAATCTCAGATTGGAAGGAAGACTTTTAATCTGGAAATAGATCATATAGGTGGCTCTGAGCTGGAGTTTCACACAACTTTAGCCATCTCCAGCAGCCTCTGTACCTGTTGCCAATCTGTCTGCAGTTTACGTCAACTTTATTCCCATAGAATTAAGTAGATACACTGAATTGATGACTTTATTTTTTTATATGGACAGGTAATCTCACCTCAACGCATTCCTGCCACTGTGACTCCTACCTTGTTGATGTCCCCGATGGTGTTCACTCAGTCCACACCTGCTCCGCCAAAATCAAGTGAGAGTGGGCGGTTAGCAGCAGCGAACCAAGAGCCTGCCGCTAGCTCCGCTAGCCTCCTCCTGCCACTGCAAACCCCAGAGCCACCCGTGGTTAACAGCAGCTCCATGACAAAGATGCAGCTGCAAGAAACACTTCTACACCTGATCCAGGTAAAGCGCCAAGAATTTTCCTTAGCTTAAAAGCCTGATTCCCATTTTGATATAAGCACCCTGTAATCGGTTGCCCCTGTCTGTCTAGAGGCTAAATGAATAATTAAAATATACGTTGGAAGTTGTGACACTTAGGACGACATGCTAACAGAGCACTGTGGCATAGACTGCAGATGTGATAGCCTCTCCTTGCCCACTGCTGGCTTAACCACATTTTGATGAATGCATCTGATTTGGGGTTCAGGAAAGATAATAAATTTGACAGAAAAGAACAGAGATGACTAAAAGCTTCATAAGGTCAGCCTATGAGCCAAAGAGATATCTACTATATTTTTAGCTAAGGATAAATAATGGGTGATTATCCCAGCTGCCAGATATTTCAGAGATGCGTGTTAGCAGTAAGAGGAATTCAGGTGGGAAATAAAAATTTCAGGATGAGTGTGAACAACTTTAAAATATGGGTTAGATAACCTAAAAATATACTAGTTCAGTTTTTTCAATGTAATTCTCTAGTTCAAATGCTAGAATTCCTTTTGCTGCAGCTTTTCAGGTTTAAATGTGACAAAGGATTAACATTATATATGCTTTGGGATGATATGAGTGATTATTAGTATCTTTTTCCTTATCTTGCCATGTGATGAATATCTGAAGAGTAGACTCTATAATCTGGAGAGATTATATATCTAAAGACCTGGCTACAAAGCACAAGGAACAGAGACACAGGTTTAATGTCTAATTTGTAGGCCAAAACTACGTGCCCATATGGCTTTGGAATAAAAATACAAGTTGTTATTGGAATGCTGAAGTTACTTAAAATGCAATTTAAATTATAGACCCAGAAAAAAAATAATATATTTAACAATTTAGAGACTTTTCTCATTTTTCTCTGTATTTGTAGTTTGGGATTAAAAAAATGAAAATATCACATTATCCTGTCTTTACATACTTTGAGTACCTGAATAGTTGTAAAACCATATATGAAGTTAAAAATGAAAATAGTCAAGGAAAATTGGATTTTACCCTCTGAAACAGTACTTGTAATATGTATATTTGACCCTGCTGCTCTTGGTGGTAATTAGGATTAATTGAATTACTTGGAAATAATTTACTGCCAATTTCTTACCTGTTATTTTCCATTATATAAAACTACAATCTCCGATGCTCCTGATTTTCCTCAAATAGTATCTTGATTTTAATTATCCTCATATGTTTATGTGAGCTACTTAGGACATTCTTTCCTAATGTGAGTTGACCCATTCTTGCAAAACGATCTTCAGAGGGAAAAAGTTAAACAAGCATCAGAGCAAAAGGAACAGCATCAGTTAGAAGGATTAAATCTAAAAGAGCTGAACAAGATGCAAGGATTTGCCCAGGTAACATTTAGTAAAGGGTCAAAACCCAGGGTGCTTTACTGTTCCTTCAGACATGCTTGGAATTACCACTGACTGGAGGAAACTACTTAAGGAAATCCCTAGGTAAATGAGGGCAAAGAGAAGAAATTACAGGGTTGTATCATCGCCACATTGTCATGCAGGAGTAGTGGACTCAAATCCACTGTGAGTTTGGAAAATCTGCTTTCTGTGTACTCCTTATTTCTTACAGAGATACAGTCACATTTGCTGCAGTAAACTTTATATTCACATCCAGGTCTTCTAAGGCTTACTAGCAAGGCTTGGACATAATAGGTATTTTTGATAAAGGAAAAGAGCCTTCCTAATGCTCACTTTTTAAAAAAACAGGGTAAGGTTGAAAAGTATCTAGTCCATGGAATTACTCAAAACACCTGTCATGCACTAACAATTACCTGTTTTGTTTTTCAGAATGATGACAACTTCTTAAATATTATTTATGAAGCATATCTCTTCAGTGTGAGAAAAGCAGCAACAAAAAAGCCCATGTGAAAGATTATTTTTAAATTCAATTTCTATTGCTTCCTGAACTCCAGGAAAAAGGCTTCAAATTTTTCAAGTACGTTTACGTTTGGAGAAATGAGTGGTCTTGGGCATTTTGCATACACATAGATTTTGCTTGTTGGCAAGTACGTGCTGAGAGAGAAGTGAGCGAAAACAGATTGTGCCTTTAGGGAGGGGAGCGTCACGATACTGAAGACTTAATTACAGAATATCTTAAATTATTTTTCTTATATTGGTCCATACTTAGAATTGATTTTCCAGCACAGGGGCTGAGTTCTCAGAATTCAGTTTCCTTTTTTACTTGCATTGTGTTCACGCATTGACTAGGTATTTGTCAAGGATTTTCTCCGAGACGTCATATGCAGCGGTCCCGATGAACGTGCCCATCCCTGACCACTTGGTGGCAATGTTGGACTATTTTTAGGAACGTGAAAATCCGGGTGAAATCTTGGAAGGGAAAGTCTTGAGAAGACTGATGTATCATCGTACTTAGTTGTCTGCAAAGCAATCTAGATGAAATGTCGTGACTTTCCCCCAGATTTTTGTAGAAAAATCTTTTTTCTATTTTAACAAGAATATTTTTAGCTAGCTGTAGAAATGGGACTCTGCAGGTGTTTTGATGAATTGGGGGAGGGAGGGTTTGTTTGTGAATGTACTTGCTATCAGTGTAGCTCTGGGGTGGCACTGGATTCATGTTTCTATTATTCCAGATCCAATCTGCATTATTATAAGCAATGTACAACTTCACTAAAGGGAAGGATACCTGGCATAAAAGTCTTATGAAATCTTTTTTTAGAGTGTTTCTGGAGCACAGTGATTTCATTGATCCATTTCTAAAGAAAATAAAATGGATAATCCCTACTATGTGCTGATTTCATTTTATTGTACCATGGACTATGTATTTAGAATTGTTGGGTCACTTGTATTTGTATGACTTCAAAATGTTTTTACACTTGGCAGAAGACACGTGAGGTTTTAAATCAATTAGAATAAATGGCTGAAAGAAATTTGATGTATATTTTTATTAGCATCTGCTGCTGAGGTGCCAGTTTACTACTGTTTAGGAACTCAGAGTTGTTGCTGAGGAAGCTTTCGGTTTGTGGGTTCAGAGAACCCAATCTGTAATCCATAAATAAGTATACATTATTCTTTACTATGGGCATTGATGTAGGCACAACTCAGTAGCCTCATCAGTGAAGGTTTTTCAGTGTAAATTAGGATGCAGGTTTCAATTACTATGGTAGTAATGATTCAACAGTTGGCCCCACCCCCATACATCTGGCCTTTCTCTAGTATAAGAGTGTGATTTGAGGGGGTAAGGGGGGAATTTGCTCACATTCCTTGGGAAAGGCTCTAGATCCATATTTAAAAAAAAAAGGTCAGGAGCTACTTTCTTTATACACAAGTGAATAACCCCAAGAGACTCATGCCTACTAAACTGCTAGACTTCTTCTACACTAAGTAGCTCATAGAGAGCAAGTTATACTCTAGTTTCATTTTGCTACCAAACTGCTTATGATTCTTGCAGATGCAGTGGAAATAACATGTTGAGCAGATACCAGGAAGGGCAGACTTTAAAATAGCAAATCCTAATTCTAATCCTGTAGCCGTAATAATTTATGTAGCCGTTATAATTTATGGAATTCTACTGAGTTAATTGGTATTGTTTCTGAAAGAACTGGTGTGGAAGAAATTGGAATCTACACAAAAGAGTTTGTATGAAAGTAAATACATGCATAATTGGTGTCAGTGATGCTAGATTATCTGAGAGTGCAATTTAAATATGGTGGGGACACATAGTTAAGACCTAATTTGACATGTAGAATTTCTGTAATTGGTGGGTAAAAATAATCCTTAAGCATCTCAAGCTGTGTTTGTGATAGGTTTTCTAGTCATGGAGGAAACATTTTTATTTACAAAAGGCAAGTATAAATTTTAAAAACATCCTTATTTATTGTTTTTCAGAGTAATGCATCATTACAAAAATTAAAGGCATATTTTTTAAAACATCTTCTGTTAACTCTTGATGCTTATGACAACAGTAGCATTGGCACTATGCTTGGCAAGATGAGGCTTATCTTAAAATAGACAAGGATAGAGCTAATTCAGGGTTTCTTCTTCCTGCCCTCTCTTCTGGTTATATCTACACCAAGTAACACTGACAGAGTTGCATTTCTTTCACTATGTTATGCCATAAGAGATTTCTGGGATTGTTCAGGGAGGCATAAACTTGCCTTTTGTGGAGTGAAGAAAAGCAGGGTAGTTGCTAAAGAAAGGAGGTGCTGTTTTAGCTGATGTGCAGGCTTACCAAGAGCCACAGAGGTAAGAAGATAGATGAGGCTCAGAATGAAACTGAATTTTATGACAGTGAAGAGAAGAGGAAAAGTAGCGAGATAATTCTGCTGAGAAATTAAGCCAAACTTCTCATCTAGGTTTCCATTTCAGATGGCAGGATCTGCTTCTTCAGAGGCATTTGGGAATTTCAGAGACTGAGCTTGGAGTCATACCGGAGTGTAGAACTGTGCCGTGCCCCTTTCTCTCTTCTTTCTACTGCAAACTGAATTATCTGTCTCAGAAAAAGACCTTTTCCAGAAATACAGTCAGAGCCTTCCAGCACCATAGAAAAGCTGGAGGATCCTCATGTAATACTGAAAACTTCATCTCTGTCTTTTGGTATTGTGTTTTGTTTAATAGCTTATTTTTAGCAGCTGGGACTGTCTCTTTATGCAGTCAGATCTTTGCACGATAGCAAAAAGTTTATTTTGGATTTGATAGATCACCTTTTAACTAGAGTGGTTCTAAATACTCAGGTTCCCCTATTTTTATTTTTTTTAAGACACTGTTAGAACTACAGCACCCTTAAGCTAGCAAGACCTTTGGAGAGGAAAAGGCCACATCATTTCAGATTGCCTTTCTTTGGGCCTGTTTTGTTTGGGTTTTTTTGTAATCTGAAAAAGGAAAAATGGTAGAAAGCAGAAAATCAGAAGTTATGCAAGGATCACATTAACTCTGCTTTAGATGCTTCCACAATATGAATGTGTAATATTTTTTTATTGTCTGCGTATTTCTTAATATACTGCTGAATGGGGTTGTGTTTTTTTTCTTTTTTTTTCAAGTAGAATAAAAACCTTGTAAACTGACATTTATCAAGAATTCCAGAAGTTGCAGCAGTGCTTTCTGCATTAATCCCAGTCTCAGCATTGAATTGATATTGTTTTTCAGTGTAGTTCTACTTAACCACTGTCCACTTCCTTAGAAAATTCCACACCTGTTAAACTAGAGTGAGAAGACAAAGAGTAGAAAATCAGTGAAATACTTGAAGCATAATCTTTGTCAGTGTATATCATGGAAATCTACAATATTCAGTGAAGGCATCCAAATCTTTCCTCAGGCCCTTCCCACAGAAAATTCAAACCCTTAATTTGATTTTCACTCATTAGCTCTCTGTTGCTCCTCTATTTACTTCTCCTTGTTGTAGCTGCATAGGGGATAATTAAAATTGTAGAGCGAAATAGAATTTTCCAGGAGCAGGATGCAGCTGAATAGGCAGGATGCTTCCTTTCCTCTGACAGCCTATTTAGAACGCGTTGAGCTTTGAATTTCAGTCATAAAAGCAGTGAGTAGTCGAGATATCTTTGTCCCTTTAGGATATTAAAATCATAGTTTAATATTTTAGTAAACTCGGAGATCTTTGAGGAAAAGGCAAAATTAAAAGACGTTTTTCAATAAGCATTTGAGGTTCTAATGTAGAAAATGTTATGAGACAGCAGCTTTACCCAGAGGGATCCCTGAAACTGAGAAAAAGGCGGAATTCTAGTCCTGGAGATGAATAACGCACTAAAAAATTAATCCTCAGTCAACCTACAGTAAACTTTATTGCTAATGCTGAGGACTTTTAAAAGACTCTTACAAGTCCTTGCCTTTTCCAAACTGCTTCATATATCTCTAACAAGCTTGTTCTGGCCTCTAGACGTAAATCTGTGTGCAGCTGAGTTGGGAATATAGGAGGAGCAAGCTGGGCATATACAAACAGGAGGAGGAAAATGTGGTTCTGCAAGACACTGAAGAAACAAAGGCTGTAGCTTTATAAACACTTCAAGCTGGCTCTGCTGCTGAAGAGGCAGCCCGTCCCAGCCACCCACTCCTAGCTGCTCATCCCTGCTCCCACACCAGCCTTCCCTTCCTTTTTCCTTTCTTTTTCTTCTTTTTAATTTTGATTAAGATGGCTACATGGTAAAATGTGTTACGGCAGAATTAGTCCAGGTTAAGACCCGCTCCATGCTGAGGTTGGTGTTAACCGGGATGAGCTCGGCAGGGCAGCAGCCCGGGCCCCTGTATCGGTCAGTGCCTGGATAGGGCTGTGCAGCTGTGGGGATGAGTGGGTGGGATGTGGGAAGGGGAAAGTGGGGCAGCAGACTTGAGCTGGCGACTTGAAGCTTTCGTGAAACTGATCTAAAGGCCTTTGCCTCTTTGCTGACATTAGGACTCGGAAAATGCCACAAAGATCAAAATGTGACTTCGTTGTTATCCCCTGCCTTGGCTCTGTGTGGAAATCCATGAACGTGTTTGCAGATACCACCACGAAAGGTAACTACTGTTCATGAGCCCAATCTCTCCAGGCTCTCTGCAGAACCAGTGGAAAGACGGGTCCTCTTCAGGGCAAGTCTCAGTACAAACCTAATTTAGTTTGGGAGGTTAGATTGACTGGGCTGAAGTTAGCCTTTGCAAACACCTTCCCCACCACCAGCATCTTGTACTGAACCAGTACTGACATCGGAGTCAGCACCTACCTTTCCTCACATTACAGCAGATGTTTGAGTGAATTTTCCCTTCCTTTTTTTTTTTTTTTATATTTATTTAATGGAGATTGTACCATCAAACCTGAACAGACTGTTCAGATATAAATCTGCCCAGCGTGGAAGTGAATGTGAAATGCAGGAACCAGATTGCTTTTGTATGGGTAGCTGAAAAAACTACTGAAACAAGCAGGAAATAAGCACTGTAAAGATAAAGGGGAAAGAAAAAGAGATTTTTAGGTCATTTTAAAGAATAGCTTTTGGAGAAAGTGGGTCCAGTATATTATCATCTTTACTTTATAGCTGTTATGGAAAGAATTTGAGTTGTGTTCTTCATGCTTCTTCCTTTTAGAAGGTGAGAAACATAATAAAAATTTCCAAATAATTAATTTAGAATAGACATCTGGTATACACAATAGAAGGTCACTACACATTTTTTGAGAGCAGCAGCTTCAGTCATACGTGTGATAAAAAAAATTTTTTAGACCATTTGGGGCATGTATTAATTACAAGCCCTTTTTACTATATTTGGACACAAATTCCACAAAAAGCAAAGTAAGCTCTGAGTTCAGAACAATACACGAATGCCACCAGTCAATAAAGGCAGAAGAAAAAACCCTGTGGCATGTTGTGACTAAAGGAAAGTCAAGAAATAGGAAGGATGAGATCTTACTATCAGCAAGAGAGCAGCCTGCTTTCACGCCATGAGGGAACTATAAGAAACGATGGCAAAATCCTACAGCTGCTACTGTGTACACAGAGAGATGCTAATCCCATTGTTAGATCCTACATAGGTATTAACGCCTTTCTTGCCCACGTACTGCCACCCTGCTCCATAGGCCCACGTGCTGAATGCAGAGCTGCTATATGTTGCCCTGAGCCGTGCTGCCGCGCATCTCTTACACCACGTACCCGCGGGTACAGCCACTGGTACTGAATTTCTTTGCCTGATACATGAAACCTACTTCTGAAATGTACTAAGACGGAGAGATTATTATTATGTCACTTCAGAAACCTACCCGCCCGTGTATTTTTCTTCAGCACTTGCCTGTAAATACAACATTTAGAGGGAGAGAGGAAAAGAGTGTGCAGGCTCTTGGCAGCAGTCCCAGCGTAGGGCTACTCAGGCTGGGAACAAAAGCTCTGTTTTCCTTCATTTTTACTGCATTTTAGCAATCTGGCTCACTAACAGCCGCCTTCTTTCCACTTAG